CATTGGCGGCAGCCATTAAATAATACATACATACATATCCACACAGTACCTACTTCGCACAATCTCGGCTGGTTCAATCTGGCCCAGGGGCATTTGGAAGGGACCCGCAATGAAGCGGCCGCGCTTCATGGCCAAGAACGCGTTCTTTCTGCACGCAACCTGCGGCGATAAACAAACACAGGGCTGGCAGGAAGATCGCTATGCAATGGGAAAAAGCAATCACTGGAGTCCAAGAGGGCCTTCATCACTGCCAAGGTCGTCGGCAAGGGTGGAGATTCTGGCGTTGGCAAGCCGGATCCCTTTTCCACATCTGCAGCCGCGTTGGGTGTCACTTTTGCCATGGCGACACTGCGGAACAGGGGGGTCAAGCAGCAAAAGGTGCCTTGATCCATGCCAAGCCCTCTGCGCGCACCGTCGTCTGGCAAACATTCCGCTAAAACTCGAGAATGCTTGCGAGTGCCTGCATCATCCGGGTAGTTTTCGCGTCTTGTCTACCGGTTGCGTATCTTATGAACCTATGCACTTCTTATGGCTTATGGGCTGCCCAAGCTTATCTTGCTAGTCTTGCGACAGTCGCTCAACTGCAAGCTCCGGACTCGTCCCCATCTTGGCAGCGTTTGCCAAGATCTCGCCGGAGACATGGCCTGGCAACATGGCCGACTCGCAGCGTGGACATGCGCGGATGTATCGCCTGCATCTCGATTGTGCGAGGTTCAAAGTTACAGCGTCAGAATCCGGGTTCTAAGTACCCGTTTCCTTGAAAGTCGGTCGCGGGGAAGTGCAGGGAGTCTTCCACATCGATGGTGCCCTCCTGATAGAAACGGGGAGCGGAAACGTGCAGTACCCTGTGACCTACCCCAGGTCCAGCTTCAGGACAAACGAGTCTTGAAAGAACGGCGGGCATGAGCCAGGAGATGCAAGCTTATCTCTCCTTGCTACTGTACATGTCATATCTCGGCTTACTACCTTAGATTGAAAAAGCAAGCCATGAGCTGAAACTGAGCATGTCATTCCTCAGTCCCTTCGGCAGTGACCGCTGTCGTCTGCTCCTGAGCATCTTGGGCAGTCCGGCAGTCTACAGCCGGCTGGGCAAACAGAAGACTTCGGTGACGGCTCGCTCCGGTCCAAGTGGCCGAGACTTGGCGATTCCAACTGCTAGGCTTCGCGGGCTCGGAGGCCTGACGAAAGGCCCAAAACAGGGAGCGCAACCCTTTTCTGGAAAAGCTCAGCGCTTTCGGCACATTCCGGGAAAGAACTTCCGCCTGGCGCCCAAAGGTGCCCCTGGGGTCGACGTCCAACTCACCGAGCATGTCCTCATCCTGATGAGTCACCGTGCACCTTTCTGCTTGAAGAGCCCTGTGCGTCCCTGACTCCCCGATTCATGTCAGTCTATACATCTCTAAGCAGAGGCAAAAAAAGCAGCACAGCGCGGAAATCACGGCCTACGGCCCTGCAAGCCTCAAACTCAATGAAGGTGTTGCGAATGTTGAAGCCCTTGACTCCTCCAGGTCAGAGAGCACTCATCGAGCTGGCTCACAGGCACCACCCTGGCCTAGAAGCGAGTTGTACTTCATCAGGTCAGAATTCTTCGGCATGATCCTCCAAGTCAGCTGCAGCCTTATACAAAACGAAAGTGTGCACTTCAAGCAGACGAGCCTCTCGTGCACTCAACCTGGGTACTGATACACTGCTGAGACAAGACATTCAGGAGTTCTTCTGGCCTGAGCCACCCGAGGAACTTCGGAGCTGCGGCTAAGTGACGAGCGCAGCAATAGATGCAGGCTTGGAGGTTGAAACGAAGGAGGCCTCGCTGTGACATCGAGACTCAAGCAGCCCAAAGTCTATGACGAAGTCGCAGACCAGCAAGGACCCGGAACTTTTGTGTCATGTCGTCCATTGAGGCTCGTATCTGTCGTATCTGTCGGTTCCGAGGGCTGGGCTGGCACGCTGTGCACAACCACCACGGTTGACTGGAACTGTGAGGGTTATTGAAACCCTTGAGCCAGAATCAGGGGAGGCAGTGCTGAAGACGGCGCTAAGATATGCTCAGGCATGCCGCATCCTCCCTTCAAAGCGGCTGACATCAGCATGCCCACATGCACATGGTCCCAACAAACGCTTCAGATGCTCTGCTCTGTGCGGAAGCACCTCCTTCCGGCATGTCAATCGACTCGGGTAGCCCAAGTCCTCGCCCCGAATCCCAGCTTCCCTTCTGCCGGGAACGCAGCGCTGACTAAAGACATCCACACTTGCAGTTCCTGTCTTCTTGCGCAACGCTCGGGCTTAGAGTCCTCCTGCACCGGGGCCACCTGTGCAGGCGCCCCGGAGCGCAACTGCGTCAGGAGACGTCATTTTCAAAAGTCGCACTTCGGTAGGGAAAGACGATGGAACACCGCTGTCTCAAGCAGGGATATCCAACAAGGCCGGCGCCTGGCGGCAGGAAGGTCTGGTGGACTGAACCGCAACCTCACGCAAGCACGGCGGCGAGTGCACGACGCCTTCGTTCAAGTTACTCGCAAATCTGTCGACCTCGTTCACGGGAGGCGTGGCACGGGTTCTGCGAAAAGTTGCAGCATCCACGCGAGCTGGCTCCTCAACGGCCAGGACGCGGATCTGACGAAAGTATGTGCTGATTCATGGCAACCAGGCTACTGGCCTTGGATTAACAAACCTTCCAAGCCTCCAGCTCCCGTGAACAGCACCCAAATAAAGCATCGGTCGTGGAAACACATCCGGGCTTGTGCGCCATGGAATCCCTGAGCGTGACTGAGTGCCCAGGCACACTTCCATTCACATGACACAATCTCAACACAGGGGATCAAAGGCAGCACGGCATCACGTTCCGCCAGCAAACCATTGCGATTTCCAGATTCGGGTGTTTGGAAACGGGCGTTGCAGGGGCGAGCTGTATCATTCGCCGGCTATATGTAGGCGATTCAAGCATTCTTTTCTCGATGTCATTCAACGTGACACGAACTTGCTTACTTGCATGCTTTTGGTCTCTCTCCTTCGGAAGGCGTGGTTTGGGTCGGAGAAGTACTGACCTCCGCCGTCGCTCCATGATGGATCTGCGCCTGTCCTGCTCACAGCGGTGAATGTTGGGGCTGGTGAGTGCAAGAGGTCTTTTGAGTCCAGGACCTGTCGCTTTTGCGGTGACAACCGCGCTCGCAACTCTGACGTGTGAGGCCTCAGTTTCATCTTGAGGGCCAGGAAAAACAAGTATAAGCAGTCACACTTGTGTTGTGTAGCGAGAAGCCGTGTCTCCTCAAGAAGTGGTCAAACCAAGATGCACGAGTATTCTATATCACACTCACATGTGGAGGACGTCGGTTCCCAAGCTTCCCGGCAGCTACAAGTAGCATGGCACCCTCGGAGTCGCTTAGTGATCGAGTCCCTATGAGTAAGCAATCGCTCCGATCTAGGCTTTCAATGCGTAGAAGCCCCAAGCCCGGCCTGGAAGGCTTCAGATTCAGCAGCGAGGTGCGGAGTCGGAAGTGCGTCGAGCGCCTCTGAGTGGCAAAAATCGGGATCGTGCAAGTCCGTAGATTACAGGCTCTGGACCCAGAGCCAGGGACTCTTAGAAATGAGCCAGTCGGAGACAGACTGCAAGTCTGCACGAATACAGACAAGATTTCAAGTGCGAACATTGGTCTGTGCATGTGTGTGTGTGTGTGTGCGTATTTTGAACCGACAGAGACATATGCCAACGAGCAGGCACACGAGCAAGAGCATGCATGTATACATACAAACACGTACACACGCACGCACCCACCTATGTGCATATGTACATACATACGTACCTGGGTACATACATGCATATACAGTATATGCATGTATGTACGCAGGTACGTATGATCATATACATACATACACAGGTCAATCTGTCAGATGTGTGTGAGCTATGACAATGTTCAGTCACAACTGCATACTGACCTCGCTTCAAGTTCAAGCGCATCTTCAGCACTTGTGACGTCTGGTCGGGGCTCCAACTTCTATTATAATTTCCATGCATTAATAAAGGATGGGGCCTTGGGCTTTGCGGTGCCAGCCGTCCCGGTTCTGATCTTCGAGCTGCCACACGTGTGACGCGCTGGCGCATGCGCTCCTGAGCCAGCCCCATCGCAGTCGCCGAGTGTCTAACACGTGGGAGAATTCGCGGAAAGAAGAATCAGGCCCCCTGCATCAAAATCTGCCCGCCGGGCCCGCAAGCGCGCCTGCAACTGACATTAAGATAACCGGAGAATGCGAATGCTTAAGAGCAGTGCAGCTGACACCTACACACTGAACTCAAGCTGGCGGCTTTGCATAGGAGCGCTAGTCAACACACACACACACACGAGACACAGGAGATGTGATGATCATTCTGCTGCAGTTTTGTGCTTATCATGGGCTCTGGGGATCTCCGAGGAACACTGTCTCTCTTTCGACCTGCGGTTCGGCCGAAGAGCGTAGTCCGCGACGATACCTCAGAGTGCAAAGGGAGCGGTTGCGCTGGATCAACAAGGCTCTGCGGCAGCCGGGCAACTTCTTTGCTTTGGGGTCTGCTTCCAAGCTGCCTTGCCCAAAACAAGGCCTGGTGTTGATGTGCTGCTACAGTATGCGCTCTACGGGTCTTCAATGGTCTTCAGCCTGATCTGGCTGCTCTTCGATGGCTCGTTTGCGACAGAGACTCCTGGCCTGTGCCCCATTTCGTCCATGGACACTCTGACGACGACCCCGTGTCGATGCATTCGGAAGCTGGTTGTCATGTGTTGTCTCGCGAAGACGGCTTCACAGATACACGCCTCCTTCTCCTCAAGTTTGGAGTCATCGCCAACTCTCTGATTGTCTCAGTCTGCCTTTCCGCTGCCTCTGACAGAACTCTGTGTCCGAGTAGCATCACAGATATCACAGGGAGCGCACGGTCCGACTGAAGAAACTCAGCGGAATTGGGCCACAAACTGTTGGCAAACACACCGGAGCAACATCAACCACGAAGACACCGCAAACCCATGCATGCAAAGGGGTGTTGCCTGTAATACCTGGGCTGACTGCCGCCTGCGGCTTAGGGTTCCTGGGCTGGGCCCATGGCACTTCCGCAGCTGCTTCGAAGTCGCGGCGCCTGGGCGACAAGATCTGAAAGCCAACTCGAACCTTCAAGCTGCCTAGCCCGGGCTCACGGTTGCAGAAACATGGGCGCCGGCGTCTCTAGGCAGTGTGCCCAGGCTTCGTAAAGAAGAGCGTGGTGCGTGCCAATGCCTCGATCCTGTCAACATTTCTCCAGATGTCAGGAGACTTCAGCACAAAAAGCGCCAACAACAACTTGGGGGCAGCGGCTTTTGGCATGTTCAAGGCCTCGAGCTGCCTGAAGATGTTCGTCGGAGAAGACTCTTTGTCAGCCAACATGACCTGCTGCATGTTACAGTCACTCCGCAGGCACTGTCCTCGGCGCAAGACTCGCCGGCAGCAGCAGCATTTGGATCAGTTTACATTCAAGCTGTTGAAGCAGCCCTGATGCAGATCCAGCGTTCGGATGCGACAAGCACACGAGCATGCCTTGAACCGTCAGCTGAGGTAGACTGACTCGAGACTGAGATACGAACCCACAAGCGCAGGAGGCGTATGTCCTGACGAGATTTCGGCTACAGTAGCTCAGGGATGGACGAAGCACCGCCGCGCAAAGGCTCAATATTTTGTGATCCTGAAGTTACACTCATGATCTGACTCTGCCAGTCCCTGCTGCAAGCTTCGGCCAGCCGTTGGAGAAAGAGGCTGTGCCGGATGGCCGGATACTAGAGGCGCCTGGTTGTAGAGCTTCTCCACGGAGAGACCTGAAGCTTCGAGACCAACCGGGAGCTATGCCGAATTTGCGCGACAGGCAGCAAGAACTGGACTTGCGCTCTTTAACACTGCGTGCTCGGCATCCCCCTCGAAAGCCGCACCGACTGTGGCCACCAAGGAAGCATTCTACGTACGAGTACTCTGTTGGGCTTGCGGGCTCGGTGCAGCCAGAATCGACGCAGACTGCTCTTGGCTGTGCCGAACCTAGTCTAAATTTCGGACTCTGTTGGAGAGTCGAATTGCGCGCGGGAGAGGGCTCTCTCTGGGCACCTGACAGGCTCAAGCCTGGGCAGACTTCGAGAAGGCGTTACATGGGCAAGGGCCTAGTGCTGCCCTTGGTGCACAGAGTCTTGACCCGAAGTCTGCCCAGCATCCTCTCTGCCTTGAGCTGTGTAAAACTTGCCTGCCATTGGTGCCTCACATCTGCCAGCCCGGGGCCAAAAACATGACTTTTCACGTGGACAACGGCCTCTGTCTTATGAGTCTTCTGGTGTAAGGAGTACCATAACACAGAACTTTTAACGCAGCCGGGCACTGCCTCTGTCTCTTACAGCCAGAGAAGTGTCCTGTGACCACTCCGCGCATGATTGCAAGTGATACATCGTGAGATTCTGTGAAATGTAAAGAGGTGGGAACTACCCCACGTCAGGTAAACTCGAATGTTCAGGCTGCCACACACTGTGTCGCTACTGTCGATGTAGCAAATTAAAGCCTGATCGATGTGCGTGGGCTCGGCCCAGGATCAGTCGAGCAGTCATCGCTTACCACGGGAGGCCGACCGATTACCGTTGCACCTGGAGTGATGGCGGTCATGATGGGCTTCTGAGGCAACGATGAGGACTCATCGTCGGGAACTTGTGTCTCGGTCTGCATTTGCTCCTCCGATCCAAGCTTTGTCAACGCTTTCTCATCTGCCAACTCTGCACCCTCTAACGCTGCAGCCACCACATTCACCACACTGTCCGAGTCGGGCATTGGCTTGGCCAAGGCACTCCGGATGACTGGCGATCCACTAACACTTCTCGGCGGTACCCAATTCTCAGCCTCCTCTGTCCTTCGCTGCTTCCACGCTTCCTCTTCTTCACGGAGCTCCTTCATGACGTGCACCCGCGTCTGAGAATTGTGACGCCCCCGCCAGGCACGCGAGAGGAACAGCAGCACAAAAGAAACAAGTATCAAGAAAAGGCCAGTTAAGCCATATTGGTTTATCATTGGCTTCCCGGAACCTTCACTCCAGGGCCACCACTTCAAGCCCTCCAGGTCATCAGTGACTCTGAAGGTGCCAAAGCACATGCCAGCCCTCCAGAAGAAAACCTGTGCCACGAAGACCATCAGCAGGGCACCGCCGAAATGACAGAATCGTACCAAAGCCGGGAGGTCCCTGGCCTTCAGCTGACATTTCTCCTTGATGCGGTCCTCACAGTGATCCAACCAGTCCAACTCCACAAACTCCACCTTCGGGGCATGGATCTGATCGTTCAGCTTGTCGAACGCATCCTGGATCGCCCAGCCCATCCCCCCCCAGAAAGTCACAGAGACCATGGCCGTCAGCGAGAACATCAAATTGCCGGCTCTAGCCCAGACTTCACTCTCGTCCCGTTTCAGATAGAAGCTGCCAGTCAGGGCCAGCGGAATCGTAGAGAAGATCACCTGGCAATATAAAGGCCGCACACAGCAAAGACCCACCAGCTAGCTGCCAGAGAATGCTGACCAGATACTGGCAGTGTGCCGATGGTGCATTGGAGTAGGGAGATACGCATGATTCCTGCCAGCCTGGGCTGACATCCAGTCCGAGATTCCAGGATTAACTCGCCTAGTCAAAGGCCTATTGCTGCCATGCAAGGAACACTGACGTCGGCCAATCTGGACCACCGCCTTAGCTGCAAGTCTCCGCGCGTCAGCTCTCAACTCTCTGTCCATCTACCGAGCCCTATAGGCATCAATCAAGCCGGACACAGCAGTTGAATTTCGGGTGTAAAATGCAGCTTGCTTGAAACATGATTGTGCTACTAGCTACACTTCTGCGGACGGGTTACAGAGAATCATGCACTTCCCGAAGTTCATACCAGGCCTTCGGAGGATAGATTCGATCGCGCGCATGAATGGGCGGTGAATGCCTCGATGCAAGGCACGCTAGCAGCTGCTGTCAGGAGCTAAAATGGGTGGTCGAGGAATCGTTTTCTTGTGAGAGCACAATCGAAATATCATGCTGCCAAGCCAGGTACCCACCATGCGGCGAATGGACTGGCGACTTCCCAGCATTTGTCCAATGATCTTCTGCTGGATGGCACAGGCAGCAAGCTTTAGCACGATGCAGAGGAGAATGCAGATGACCTGCAACACGCACACGCAACATTTTACCTGCCAGCGACTCCGCAATGCTGCCACTGCTATCATCCAGCGTGGCTCGCTCCCTGTGATGCAGCCCAGCTGCACAGCCCCACCAGAAGCCATAGGGACTACGGCCAGAGATAACAAGGCCTCCGAAAAGGTAGATTGGCGGTCCTGGAACCTGACGCTCGTGTAAGGATTGCTTTCAGGCGTGTCTTGCTGATGCTTCATCGGACATCCTCGGAGTCCGTCTTCTTTGGTTGACACTGACGGCATCTGAGGCACCGGGGGCAGCATGAAGAGGAACATACCAGCCCCAAAGGTGAAGCCGAGGATGCCCAGGAATGGGAGGTTGGTCACGAAAGACTTGAGCCAGGCCAGCAGCACGTTCAGAAAGATCGGGATTATCTTGTACCTTGGGGCATGCGCCCTCCAGAGCCTGTATTTATGAGAGATTACCTTCAATGCATGACAACGTCAAACAAGCCAAGGAGCAAGATCAGGATTACAGCCATGACGTAAGCCCAGGAGGCAATGGAGACCCACTCCCACCGTGACATTTGCGCGAAGACTGCCTGCAACTCATTCGCAATCGCGGAGTTTCTCAAGTGGTCTGGCATTCAGTTCGATTGCTTCCAACCATTCCGGTTCTGCAGTTTCCTTTCGCCCGCTTTGCCCCTGCACTGGGCGAAATGTGCGAAATGTCGAGGATGTGTCCGAAGCAGTGATACAACACATCGCCCGTCTCCGAACATCTGATCACTAGTCGTGTTACTGGTACTCCCCTGTCAAGATTCGGAGCCTGTATCCGCTCTGTCAAGCATCTGCCGCCAGGATGGAGGCCCCGCAGCGATCGCACCGCCTGGTTCACGGCTGACATGGCCAGCACCTCGCACATGTCAGTGGCCATGCTCTACTGACTGCAAGCCCTACAAGCAGTGTGTCACGAACCCGCCTCTTCACCCTCTGCCCTCTGTGAGACGAAAGCAATTTCACCGGTCAATGCTCCCAGCAAGTTTTGCTTTCACAACTTCCATCGCTCTTTGACTGCCGAGGCACAAGTGGCAGCAGCGGCAGCATCAGAACCAGAAATCCAGCACGGGCCCAGCTGGATTCGCAAATGCCCAACATCGACTTCCACATGGGCAAATCCTGGTGGAACAAACTGCAGGTCCCGCGACCCCCATGTCTACTAGGAATGAAGGGCTCCATGGGCTCCCTGCTCTAATACCCGGCACATGCACGCAGAAATTGAGGATGGGCTTACATTCCTGCAAGTCGCAACCCGAGAGCAAGACGAAAAGAGCCTCAAGACCGCAAATACCGAAGAGGGATACCGGAACATGGGAGCCCCTTCTGACCCATGTGCCTGCAGCCATGCGCTCATGGCTTGCCAGATCCGGTTGAAGGACAGGCAGATGAAGGCAAGAAAAGTCAAGAAAAAGAACGCCAGGAAGCACTGGACCTGTTCAGGCAAGAGCCGAGTGTCACTGCGATGCAGAGCCGCAAACCGAGATCGCTTCCCCTAGCAAGAAAGAGCATCGACAAGGTCACCCTCCCCTTCCGGCCATGTCTGCGATGTGGCTGTCCGCAGCCCAAAGCTGAAAGGCCACGAACAGGGCTCCCAGCAGTGCGATGAACCCACAGCCAACTGTCTGAACGATGTTGGACAACTGCCTGCACTAAGGATCGTAAGCGATGGAATAACTCCAAAAACACCCTAATTACGCTCTACATCAAAACAAAAATAACAGCCCCCATGTGGCCAATCTTGGCCACAAGCTGTCGCCTCATGTGAGCAGTGTGCTGGATCAAATACCTGCAGCAGCAGAGAGGAGGATAGCGCGGTTACCCTTCTGCCACAAGCAATCTTCAACTGAATCTAGGCTTAGATGCTGCTGTGCACGGTCGCGGGTCCGCTGCAACTGTGTTCCCACATCAGCGTCCTCTGAGGCGAGCTGGACTTGCAGCTTCGCGATCCGGAAATCCATCAGCTCGCGATTCATGTGACTGCGTGAGCTGAGGATGATCTGAGCACGATTGTGATCCGTCCCTTGGTAGGTTTTGTCCAGGGCCACGCGTAGAGCGGCAAAGCTAGCAAAGATGAGGTTGCAAATGCCAACGATGAGCGGCGTGGCCCAACGCACAAAGTTCATCTCTCTCTCGACGGGATCTGGGCTGACGTCAAAGCGCACGGAAGTTGTCACAGCCCAAGGGATCCAGACAATTATACAGAGCAAGGCAGTGACAAAAAAAGCAGTGGCGGCTGCTTTGTAGAAGATCCGCTGCTCTTTCTCCTCACCAGTGACCATCTTCAGCATGCGAAGCCGGGCCTTGAGGTTTTGCTCTTGGCCGCCAAGGCCTTGGCCTTTCGCACCCAAGTGGAAGCGAGGCTTCGGCTTCGTGAGCTGGCGCACCAAGATCAGACCGGTCGGACACAAAAAGATGGTCAAAACCAGCGGAGCTGTTGGAAATCTGTCTGCCAGGAAAAGGATACCAACAAGGATCTGAGCCACCGCGGCAGTGAGCAGCCCGCGCCCTAGCCATGAATCTCCAGGATAGAGAACCATATACTCGTTAGGAATATGCGGAGGCATAAAAAAGTCCAGCAAGTACAGCAGCACCAATATCACGGCAGATCCGGCAGCACAGATGAAAACAACGGCGAAATGTCTCTGCAGGTAGTGCAGGCACACAGAGCCGCACCCCATTTCCGACCAAAGCCCGACGACAAGTCCAGAGAAGAATAGGATGACAATCATGCCTCGGGTATTGTGACATCATGCCGCTCGAGACATCTCGAGACTTGATCGTGGGACCTCACCTGCACGGGCAAAAAGTAAGAGGCCAATACCGCCAAGATGCACATGATGAAGTCCCCACGAAATCCTAGCTTCGCCGGATCTCGTGAGGCTGTGCTGTCAAAGATCGCAGATTCTGGGTCTTTCATAGCATCCTCCAGATCCTCAGCTGCAAAGCACTGCATTTATCATGTCGCGACAGGCTCGATCGAGCATCCAACTTTGAGAGAGACTGGGTGAAACTAATGATTTCGCCAACTGACAGGGATTCTGAATCCGGATTTCTCTCAGGCTTCTTCCGTGGCCACAATGGCTCCGGATCCAGAGGTTTGAAACTTTGACTTGGCTCTGGGGGTGACTCGCATGTGGCTGCAAGACAAGTCTTCCATGGGCCAGGGAGGGCACACGATGGCGCAGGGGCTTTTGGGTCCATGTTGGTCTCTTGTTATTTTGGGGTTTAAGATCTTACGAGTATGACCTGATGGAGAAGCCTCCAATACAAATGTGCGGCGACTAGAAATAAGAAATGTCAGAAGGCCGTTCCAATCTATTCTCGCTGCAATCCTTCGTTCGCAGCGCTTCGGAAGAAGAGAAGAACCGCAAATCTGTACTAACCTCAGGACAAGAGTCCGGATCACTGGAGAGCGACTCGTGTGAACCATAGTCCCTCTTGAAAAGCTTCAGCATGGCGAAGCCAGAGCACGGATGATAATACTACGGGCTCAAGTGGAACAATGGCGGCCTGAACTAGTTGCGGAGTTGTTGCTGGAACCGAGAAAAAGCGTTAGAATGCCTTCTGCGAGTTCTTTGACATGTAGAGCTTCGTCAACGAAAACATGATCTCCGGTCAACAACTAGGAACTGAAATTTAATCATTGAGATACACACCTGCGTTTTTCTGTTGATATCTACTACCTAGACGCCTCAGACACAGGTCCGTCTTGCCGCATATCATCTTAAATCTCATATGTGTGCTATGCACATATGCTACAATACATTGCCACGATCCATGTTGCATTGTGCCGTCATACTTTCATACGCCTCGCTGCCTTGCTGCCGCTTGGGGGCTTGGCGCGGTCACGCCATTTTACATGTCCTTGAGCCTGGGGCAGAGCAACCATAAACCAGATAGACGTGATATTGCTTTTATTTAAAATTGCTTGTACGAGTACAGCATGACTTCACGTGATTTTCGATTGCGATTACGATCTTGCAACTCTTGTTGCAAGGTGAAGGTGGGGAGGCCTAGAGAACATTGCTCCGACATCAGCACTTGGAGAGCAACTGCGCACGGCGCGGCGCAGGAGCACCACCTGTTGGCTGCACCAAGGAGACTCGCAACAGACTCTGCTAATCGCATAAACCTGCCCTGGCGATGGAGCTGCCTTCTCTGCGGACGGCCAGCGCTGTGCCCACAGAACGTAGTCAGTCCAGATCTGCCAACAGTCAATTGGGGTCCCAGTCCCACTCTTCCCTTCCCTGGTACTCTACATATAGTTGATTTGAAGAAATTTGCAAGCTCGCATTTCCCCTGCGCCTTCTCGTCTGTGATTGGTGAGACTACGCATTCTTCACCAAAGGCTTCACATGATTACATCGTAAGTGTCTCAAGGTCTCAAGCTGTATTATTGGTTTTTGTCTGATATTCAGGCGCGAAAAGGGTTCGATAAGGACTCCGTGTGAGTCTCTTCTTGCAACCCTTGCGGGCTTTGCCCAGTAAGTATGGGCGTGCGGCCCCTCGTTGGCTTGCTGCTCGGCAAGCAAAACACTAGATGGCTTCTGTGTTTCTGGGATGTTTTACGTCAAACAACGGCTGTAACGTCTATAGCAACTCTATAGCGAGAAAGAGTGCGGGGCATCTTTTCTGGGGACACGCCCCTTGCTCACCAGCCGCCGCCGCCGCCATATCCGCCTCCTCCTCCATTCTGCGCGTACTTGCCACCCCACTGGCCATTCAGGACAGGCCCACCGCCGCCACCGCCACCGCCACCGCCGCGGCCCCATCCTTGAGCGATGCCACCTCAGAATGATACAACAAAGAGACCAGAAACAATGAGAGAGCATTTTGGTTGGACTGCGCCTCCCCCGCTTGCGATCTCCACGAGGTCACGAGGGATTTGCTGGCCTGTCTTCCTTTGGTGGGAGCATGCCACAAATCAGTGCAAGTTCATCATCACAGTACTCATCATGGGGTTGAAGAAGCCTCGCTGCCTGATGCCGCCCAGTTTCTGGAAAACTTTCTTAATCTGGTTGGCGATTGCACTGTCTGAGTCGTACAAGCCTCAGCTCTTGGAAACTAGGCCGTTCAAGGCATGTTCCTGTCCAGGTCATCCAAGCATGCCGTTATCTTGCCAAGCTTGCCAAATGGCAGGTGTAGGCATCTCCCTTCTCACCTGCTCGGCCGGTTCTTCCGATTCGGTGAACGTAGTCCTGTCTTCACGCACGAGACCATACCCTCAGTTTCATCCAACATCCATGACGAACGGGGCCTCCAAGTTCGAAGGCGCATCGTAATTCACAACAAACGCGACGTTCTTGATGTCCAGGCCTTACCCAATCTCTGGCTATCAAGAACTCATCTCGCTGATTCAGACACGCCACCTCGCTGGGCCACGTCAGTTGCAACCAAAACCTGTCAAGGTCGTAACTCGACTCATTGCTCCGACTGATGCTAGTTCGGTGTGGCCATCCCCTATCATCTCACAGCATGCGCAAGGACCTTTGCCATGCCGGTCTTGAAGGCATGTAGAGCATGATCACGCCCGGACTGGTCCTCACGGCGATTGTCTGCTGGCGGGACGTTCGGTCACAAGTCTCCAGCTGACGCTTCGGTCCATATCACCATGAAGGCAAACGATGGGCGCTCCAACGCGCGAAAGCTCATCTGGGCAGTTGCACGCCAATGCGAAGTGCATGTGGACATCAGAGGGAGCTCAGTTTGCTCACACTCGCTGCCCAAAAAGCTGAGTGCATTCCAGGAGACGATACAATCCCGAGGCGGCTTTCTTCGTCTTCACGAAGATCAGGCCAGATCCGCCTGAAATCTAAAGCATTCTGAGCACTTCACAGTGCCCGTGAAGAGCAATCCGATGCAGCAGACACATCAAGGGTCGGCTTGTTCTTTACTGCATGGGACTCGCAAGCATGCCCAGCCGTGTCATCATTATTACTGGTCACATGACTTGGCAAAGCACACTTCAACCTCGAGAAGTTGCTACCGCGCATTACACTCGCATGATCTGCCCTCACTTGCAGTTGCTGGCTCGCGGATAAAAACTGCCGAGAATTCTCGATGCTCCCGCCTGTTCGCTGCAGCTCTGGAAAGATCGTACCCTCCAGGAAGCGCCTACAGTAGAGCCAAGTTTGGATAGAATCGGCTGTTGACGTCGGTTGCTGACATATCACGGCCCAAGCGCATTTTGTCCTTCTCGTTGAAGACTCTCACGATATGCTGTGTAATGTCGGCATTTGCTGATGCCGAGTCTTCGGAACCTTTGTGTGCACCAAAGGCAAAACTCACAGCGGACTTCGGCTGACTGCAGATTTGGGAAACAGAAAGGTCGAAAACCAAAAACGAGCTCCAGGGATTCTGTCAAGCAGCCCACTTGAATGTGAGCGGCATCCTTCGTCAATCGTGAAGCGATTTCCTTGACTTCGCGAGGCCATGTAGCCTCAGGCAGAAAGGCGGAGCGTTCAAAATAGATAGAGAAATGGCTGCCTTCTACTTGCAAAGCAGGCTACAACGACGCAACAGGTGCATGTGTAAAACGCAGACGGGGGAAGAGAGGGAGAGGCAGACAGGATAGACTGCGTAGCGGATGATGCATATACAGCACAGGCTATATTGTGGGAGCGAGACATACATGCAAACGTGACTGCATGGAGGTGCTGGTCACCGTGCACGGGAGAGCAAACTTGTTTTGCAGTTCCTTGTGGTTGCACACCTGGTAGATAAAAGTTTGTTGATCAAGACAGGTACCGCAGGCGGAGCAGGTGGAGTACGGTATGAAGGAAAACGGGCCTATATATGGCCCAGGGGCCTCATGTTCGTCTCGGGGTCAATAACCGCAAACCGATACCCGGTGTGAGCCGAGTCACGGTGTAGAGAGCAGTTTGCCTCTGTCCTGGCAAATAGTTGATGAGCTCCCTGATTTGTGGCTCGAAGCCCATGTCCAACATCCGATCCGCCTGTCACAGAGCTCACGTGAGTAGGCCATGCTGCGCAAACCGCGAACCCGTCACAGGTCTTTCTGTGCTCGCCTCGTCCAAGACTAGGTACTCGCACTGGTTGATCTGGAGCTCCCGATCTGAGCACGGATGTGAGGACATGTCCGGCACAGCACAGCACAGTCACGCAACCGAGAGTGCATTGCAATGTCGCACGACGTCATGTGCTTCGTAGCTTTAAAGGTCTGATCCAAAAGATGCACTATGAACTGTAAAGAACGGGACCTTTCGGTAAGCATAGGTATGCATGCAGAAAAATGTGGAGATCATTGGAGATCCATGTCACGCTGGGGTCTCTCAGGCTCGGGCTCGACAGGAAGTCGTTCAGACGCCCGGGTGTGGCGACCACGCAGTGGGGGCAATTCCGTAGCTGACGGACTTGCTGTCCTTCCGGCATGCCAACGCACGCAGCGGATTCTGTGCTCCAGGGCGTGGTGTTTCGAAAGCAAACCAGCAGCCTCACCAGCTGAGTGCTTGTACCCGTTCCCTCGTGGCAAAAACGATGGGCTATTGACGGCTACTGAATCAGTCCGGTCCTTTCGGAGCACCTCCATAGACGCAAGCAGTATCAATTTTTGCTGGCTTGCCGAAGCGCTCACTCTCTTCGAAGATCCTCACGTGCAGCAGATCCATCAGAAGAGCCGTCTTGCGCAAATGTAAGGCTGCTCAACTGCAGAACAGCGGCTGCTGGCAAAGTTCGCGTGTTGGTGCCATGATCAGCATGCCAGGACCCCTGCTGGGGTCGAAGCTCTTGCCTTCGTTCCTCTTCACCTGCCGCAAACAAGACACCATCCATTTGTGGAACACAGGCTGCCCGTAATATCAGCAAGCCTTGATGTATCCTGGCAGAAGGTATCCGAGAGTCTTGCCGCTCCCGGTCTTGGCCACGCCGATAACATCCTGCTCCACAGGACTGCTTTCGGTTGCCGCCCGTTACCACAGTAAACCACGAAATTTCACCCGGCAGATAGATGTCCTTCCCTTCCATGAGCACGGGCCAAGTATAAGCCTGACAGATGAGCCGTGCAATGCATCTGCTGCAGACGGCACACATGCCCAGCTTGCGCATTCAGCCTGAATTGGCGTAGGGCACTTGAAGCCGGCATCAATGAGGAACTGCATTAGTCCTTCAGGCCAGGAGGAGTAAAACAAACACATGCACGGCAATTTATACCAAGAGTGTCTGCGTATATCTGCAGTATTCTGCTGTGACCCCGGCCCCCCTTCCACTCCATGGCATGGTCCCGCCCGCACTTGCGGGTGGTGCGTCCCCTGTTCTCCCCCTTGGCATGCGCACCGTGACATCGACACCCCTCGCCTCGTCCTATGTTTGGATGCGGGGTTGTGCTCCGACGCGAACCCTATCTCCCACGCCGTTACAGTCGCCCTGCCATGCCCACATGCCCATGTACACCGACATGCCGGATCCCTGTGACAGTCAGCACTTGTTGAGGTTTGGGGGATCCGGGAGCACCAACCCAAAGAAAGTGGAGCGAGGCGGGGAAGGACCTGGGACGCGAGAACATGCATATGAATACACTAGACATAACCATAAGTATATACATAAATGTGTGTACATATATATATATATATACATGTATATACATATAGAGTATGTAGATCATACACATGTTTATATATATATATATATCATGTACTTAAAATTACATTTAGACTTATTTATACCTATTTATTTATTTTAATAAGTCATTATGTAAACAATAAAAAAAGCAATTCAACAACCATGTGCATAGATAGGTAGAAAGAAACCATGATACACAGACGGGCAGACAGATGGATGGATTGATGGATGGATATTCTGTACCTGAATTATATGGCACACCTTTCAATTGAAAATACGTGTACTGTGCCGCAGTACAAAAAGTTGTTCAACTCAATACAGAATACAGGAATACGTGGGATAGCACAGCAGAATCCAATGTCAGGACGCCTGCCGGGAATCGCCAGGAGCCAGAGCACTCGTCGAAGGTCTTCCACGGTTCCACATGTTGACCGTGCAGTACGCGGACCTGAGGCCATGATTTATGTAGCTGCAGCGTGGAAGGATGCGGCATCAACGACGTGAGATACACTTCTCTTGCTTCTCCCGTGCCTGCTACAGTAGCAGGTTGACTGCTTTTTTTGCCCACCCGCCCAGCTGACCAAGTCGCACCGCTTGACTGCTTTTAGATTCTAGGGTCTGTGTTGGATCCTCGCGTATGTGGTTGGGTGGTAAGTCGCACAGGGTGCTGGAAAGGAAGCGTGCAAAGTGCGATGTAAAGGTTCGTTCGGCTTGGTGCGGAGCATGGTCAGCTGGGAGACAGATGTTGCGCTAGTCTTGTTCAGCGCCTCGCTACTTCCCACGCGCTGAGTATGGGGACTTAGTCAAGCCAGGGATCTACATCTCCATGAGTCCGAGTGAACGGACGTAACCTTCTGGTACCTAGTTGCTCTTTGCTGGTTCTGATTTCGACGATTCGACTTTTCCAATTCTTGACATTGACTCTCGCACAAGTCCAGGCGAGGTCTGCAGACAACAAATGTTCTGTACCTTCTCGCGCCCGCATATGAAGCGTGCCGTGCAGGTGGTTGCACATAAGGGAACCTTTGCATCTGGCCTCCATGGATGTTAGCCGTTAGCCAGACAGTGCAACAGCCCGAGCCTTGTCGTCATCCTTCCAAACTTCGTCTCCCCACCCCGCCATGGTCAAAACAGAGAGCTAGCGAGCGGAAAATTGCGGGGCTGATTGAACCGAGTCGGCATCGGCAAGGCCAGTAGAGGGCGACAGGCAATCGGTTCGGACAAGGGGGGAGGATGGGGAAGGCATGCCCATGTTGAAACATCTTGTGTCCTGCAGGCGGCCCCTGTCAAAAAATCAGCACGCTGTCGGCCTGCAGCAAGTCTGCTCCTCCGCTTTCTGCTCGGCTTAGTGCGGCCTTGCCAAGAGTTTGTGACGACGGTACTCCCACAAACAGTGGAACCTTTGCGATGTGCCACACGGCTCAGTGATGTAGTGCACGAGGTCGCGCCCTATGCAAGCAAGGCCTCGAAGTCCTCAGCGGTCTGAGGCCTGACAAAAGCAGCTGCAGCCATGGAGCAGCAACAAACATCACTGCTTCTCTGGAAGTCGAAGGTGTGTAGAAGGGCTGTGAAAAGAGTTCAATCAAAAATCGCAGCACTTCAAGCCCACCAAGCTCTGGCACAGACACGGACCTCAGCGCAGTTGAGCCCGTCTCGAAAGCTCCTCGGAGAAGCAAACTCTGAAATTTGCATGTGCGGTTTTGCGCGAGTAACCACCTCAAGTGCAGAAGGAATGTGCCAACTAGGAATCCTTCACTGTGTCCCAAACTCAAAAAGCATCTCCATGGCTCCTGGGCCTGGGAAAGCCTCTTTTTTGCCATGCAGTATATGTCTTCTGCACTGACTGGTTGAAGACTTCGGTGTGTCGAAATCTCCCCAACCGAACCAGTCAGTGCGAAGCCCCGAAGTGAAATGCGGAATCCTAAGCAGCCCCTGCTTGCCCCGGAGCTCAGCAATCACTACAAAGTCGCAATGCTTCCGAATCGAAACAGCGTCGCTGCAGTGCAGTATTTTTCGACTGTCACGCTCGGTACCGTTACGTAAGGGTATACTGACAGGACTGTTATATCTTATGCCAACTTCTGCAACGCATCAAGCATGACCCAGTTCAGGCTGCCCTCAATAGCTACGCTGATCAACACGCTTCTCGATGACAAGGCCGACTCGCCAATGGCTTCTGCAGGTGGTCTCAACATTCGTTGGCTCTCGGAACTTAGTTTCATGACGCGTGTGGATGAAGCCAGGGATTGCAAGGCCTTGGTCGAGCTGTAGGCAGCTCTTGGTCGCTGCAGAAAGAGATGCCAATCTCTCTACTGCAGCAGGATATGTGGCAAGCACATCCCGAGGCAGCTCGCGCTGCAAGCTGCGTGTGTGGGTCTTCGGCGCTGCCGGCACAGTGCATGGCAAAGTTTTATGGTTTGGAGAGTAGATGTTGCCTGGATCCAATCCATCTTTCTGCAGCTCCGCTGGGTCACGGGTGACGCGTGTTTGCGAATTATCGTAGGCGTGGCGGCGCCGAAAGTGCAACATGCATTTCCACGTCGTGCCTGTGCCGTGTAGACGTCTTGTGGCGCGGATGTCGAATGAACCCAGCAGGCTGAACAAATCTACTTGCTTAGCCCTTGCCGGTGGAGTGGATGTCGGCCTCGGTCGTTATAAAGCCTGATGACCATCGGCCAGATGCGCACATTTTTGGAAGCTGCCGTCATCTGCCGTGCCAATCGCAATCCGCCCCGAAAGCTCGCCTGGGCAGCTTGAGCCGACACAGATGGCTGGATCCTCCATCCCTATCGTTGGTCTCCTCCCATGTTGCTAACCTTCCCACCATGCATCGTGCAGACTTCTAGGTCTGCTGGGCCTCCGGGTAAGGCCTCGCGCTTGGCGGACACATTCGACCTTGGTTTGTATGGCAATGGCATGTGCGAACTGCGAACGCCTCCCTTCCACGACGGAGGGTGGATTGAATACGAATCATGTCACAGCGCGCCAAAAAACCGAGCACATGCAGGGCTGCAGCTACTCTGCAACAGCATTTTCCTTTTGGCACCAGTGCCTGTCCGAGGGTTCGAAGCAATCATCAAAGGACACAGCACGCACTTTGTACCATGCTGGTGTTTGCAAGATACAGTATAGGCCGTGTAGGCTTAAGGCTTACGTAAGGGCCGATCAGCAGTAGGTCAGCAGGCGACAGATCACTCGAAGGGGTACCAAACTTCAGTGGCGGGCTTTCCTGTTGTCTGCTCAATAGCGAAAATTGCCAGGCAAGACAACATGGCCACTCGACCATTTATAAGCTCCGTAAGCCGCATCTCAGGAGTGTACTGCTTTAACTTCAGAGGGTCGCCAAAGTCACCGATCTGTCGCGAAGCTTCTTGCCGGAATTGATTCCGTTCAAATTGGCCACAGAAAATGAAGATGAGAAGGGAGATTCGTTGCCACGTGTCGTTGCTCAAGCCGGCGCCAATACCCTCGCTTGCAACATCAAAGCCAAAGCCGGGCAGACGAACCTTATGAGCCACCAGGAATCCCACTGCAGCCAGCATGGATATCCGACCGTGTTTCAATTCGGCCTCGCGCAGTCTGCGAAACCATTTCTCGTCCTCGTTCAGTGCGGGATCACTTGGCTCGTACCTTGGCATGTGACTGGAGCTACACTTCCTGGACTGGTCGACTGGTCGAATGAGATTTCAGATGTCAGGGGCCCCAATCGCTCCGCCTCGGCACTCACTGTCCAGGCCGAAGGCGAAGCCCACCTGACCCCGGTCTTCGGAGAAGCCCAGACGCGGCACCGCCTGCCAGGCCAGAGGCCAGGGGTGAACGCACAAAAGGGCAAAGCGTGGCAAAGTCCATGCAAGTGCACATCAAAGCCTTGCACCAGCTTTTTTTGTCCAGCCTTTCGCGCTGGAGACCAGAAGCCATCTCGAGCAATGCCCAACGGATCGAAGAAGCCCACAGCATCGATGACTCCAATCTGCCTGTGCTGACTTCTTTGCCCGTTCTGGCACTTCGGCTGACTTGCAGTCCCTTTAAACCAAATTCGTGACAAAGCTGTGTGCTACCTCGGCAAAGCTGCGCGGCTGCGTCGAAGGGACCATCTGTGGGATCTGCTTCCGCGGGCGGGTCTTTGGTGAACCATGCCTTGGACTGCCCTATGCCATGGTGATGAAGCGTACAGTTCATCATGGCTTTGGTATTGACAACCTCTTTCCTGCAGTCGTATCATGGAAACGTGGGAACGCCAAGTCGAAGTTGCCAACCCGGTTTAACAAGCTGAGCGAATATTCTGATTGCAATTTCATATACCCCTGGAGTTTCACCTTCTTGCATACACGCACACCCGTTGTTCTAAGCTCAAGACTCAAGCCAGGTGCAAGAGTAGCCAACAAACGGACTCTGTACGAGCATTAAGTCAAGAGCAGATTATCAACCCTCATATGAAAAGTCGAGGCCCAGGCTTCTGGCAGCTATGTTGGCTTTGGACGAATTCAGGTTGAAGTTAGCAAGACAGCACAAGCCTGCTGGCGTAGCCCTGCAAGAAATCCTCAACAAACCTCTCCGCTCCCTCATGTCCAGCAATCTTCAGCATTTGGGAAGAGGACGGCCCCCGTCCAACAGGAAGTGCGACTGCACAAGTCACCAACACCGACAGAATGAAGTCTAGGTGCAGGCCTGCAGGATTCAGCACGACGTCGAAGATCAGATGGGGCATGCATGCAGTACTGTACAACATTCAAACCGCAGTTTTATGCAACTCATTGAGGCTGCAGGTCGTTCTGAATACGTGGCCGGTGCGATGCGGTTGAAATCGGAGTAGGAGTGTGCAGGTGGCAGCTGTTCTTTACAGCTGGAAGCTGGTGATGTCAAGCTGCGCTCATGCTGTGGCGGCTGCGAGACTTGTCCCGCTGCATTGGGCAGGATCGGGTGCAGCCGAAGACCAGGCCAACCATGCAAGCCTTGGCTTTTGTCACACAGCGCCTTGACATGTCATCGTCGAGCTCAGTGTTGTGGTGCTGTGCTCTCACAACCTGTCCCCAAGCTGATTCCTGAATTAGGTGACATCTTCACATTACTCAGTACCCATTCTCAAGATTTGAGGTCCAGAGGCAGGGATCGCACATGGTGATGCCTGCAGCAGCGACGTGGGCGCCCTTGTCTGAGGCCCCAGGGCATGCGGCACGCGATACCCCTGGCCTGCTGCGCACCTTAATGCTGCAGTAATGGACGGGAGGCGGAAAACAACAGCACAAGCTCCACGGTGTGACAGTTGCGAGGCTCTCGGAGTCTTGCACAGAGTTTCAGCCATTAGACTGGATCTTGACCTCGCCGCAACTCTAAAATCTATGAATCCTGCTATCAAGAGCACCGTGGAAGAGCACCGTCACGGAGCGCCATGTACGAAGCAAGGCGGATCCGGAATGGAAATGCGGAGACATTCAGAGGCTTCTCTTTAGCGCCCGTAGGCGTGCTTTGCGATTCAACTAGAAATGGAAGAGGGTGCGGCCGCCTAACTGCCACGATAACTCCTAGCCAAACCATACATGAACCTGGACCTCGAGAATTGCAGCTTGAGCAAACGGCTCCGTGCAGATCCGTCGCAAGATCCACGCCACCTAAGCTGCTGATGCCGGACGAAGCTTTCTTCCGCCGTCGCATCTCTCCGAAGGGTCGCAGAACTCGGCAATGTCGAAGTCAAAGCCTCGTCGGCACAAAGACGTTGGTATGCAATAAACTGACTCTTAACCATCGTAGAGACCTGCCATGAAGCCCTGCATATGCAGAGTCCTGTGCCTGGGGCCTAACCCAGACTACAGATTCCGGTCTCAGAGTCGGCTCTTGCCTGTCTTGCGGCCGGCTGCTATCGGATCGAAGCCCTCTGCCTGGAAGGTGTGGATTTCACCCAAGAGAGCGAAGAAACATGACTGTACCATAAGTTACAGTCTATAAGCGTCGGAACTGCAAGCATGACAGCACCCTGCCGTTGTGCTTCTGGGATGGCACATCTATGGCACATCGGTGGAGATACAGTCGGCCAGGAGCGAAACGGCGGGGCGAGAGTTCCACAGGAGAGTTCTTGCTTTTTGTTCCAAGTGGTACACCAAATCAGCACAGCACTAGCAGCCCAGCCTTGCACGGGACGGGATTGCACATCACCGTTCTAGACCTCGAAGGCTGCACCCCGCCACAAGCAAGCAGCAAGCAACGCATCACTGCTACCGTTCATTCCCAGTCACATATTCATGGTGTCACAGGCTCGGCCTCCGAAGGTAGCATCCTTTAGCACCTGCGGAGACGGCGACGAGGGGCGATGACTTGCTCAGCTCAGGATGTTGTAGCAGCATGGGAACCGAGAACCTGATCCTAGAGCAGATGATTCGGCGGCTCCAATCGTCTAGACAGAAGCCTGCGATGCGCCTTCCGGAACTGACGCTGCAAACCGCCACCGCAGCTGCGCGAACCTCCGTTAACTCAGGCCCCAGGCTCTTTACGTTGTGCATATGGAGGCTTCGCCTGCCCTCCCTTTGGCCCTGCAAGCTTGCCGAGCAGCAGTGCCCCTGGTCCATCCACCCCGACATCCTGCAATCCACTCCTGTCAGTGCAGAACAACCTAGGACCTGGGTCTTTGATGAGTAGATGGGCTTCTTGTTCGCAGTCTATGCAAACACCAAAGTGCAGAGCCATCGTCAAACGTCCAAAACATGGGACCGTGGTGATGAAGCAAGCAATGTACTGCCAACAGCCAACGGTCAGGGAGCTCCTTGTGTCAAATGTGTGTTGCTTCCTAGATTGATTTTCAACTGCAAGTGCAATCAAGCCAGCAGGAACGTACGTCCACCTACCGCCTCTCAGCCGAACTGACGACATTCTTTGGCTTTGGGTCAGGAGCCGTAGCTGCCCCGGCTTCTTAGTAACGGAATCACCGTGGCAATGCCCAGGATCGGAGATCGAGACGAAGTCTTAGTATGGGAACCTCAAGAGGGCTGCAGCAGTCACTCATTCGTCTTGCACAACATTGTCCTTCACACGGGTAGTCGTTGCACAGCACCTCTTGTTCCAGTTTCCTTACGTGCACCGTTGGCACCCTCACTCCCTCACTACCGAAGCAGACAAATGCTTGGACTGCTACTTCTCATATGTTTCGACGGTCAAGAAAATCACACTCAATTGCAAGCTGATGTGTCGAGCAAGGTCGTCCGCCGAAAACAGGCTTCGATAGGACGATGCGTGTCCTCGGCCAGCAGTTGGCCGTGCATTGACCGGAAGCACTCTCTCTGGTTGACTCCAAGTCGCTGCCGGATTCTTCCGCCCCCGCAGCTCTTGGAACAGCTACCTGAGACGGAGCTGCAATAAGCAAAACTCACACATGCAAACACACGCGAGGTCTTTATATGACTTGATTGCCGACAATAAGCCAACCCACATTCCCCCAAAAGCAGAGTCGTAAACTTGACTATGGATTGACATCTGTTGTGTGGTGATGCATGAATCACCCCTAGCCCTTCGTGCATGAAAGAAGCTATCGCAAGCCCGGATCTACGCAAGTCTGATGATGGTTGTTTCTCTGAGGACCTGCATCTCCCGGCAGTGTTGGCACGGCGCGGGAAGTGCCGTAATCCCTCGCCGTTGCCAAGCCACCCGCGTCTTTCCAGCCGCTCATCTTGCAGTCCAGCGGACACGGAAGCTCGTTGCATGGCAGCCTCGGCTGCAGCTTCTTCTGTGATCACCATGAAGTGCCCCGCTCTCTGCTGCATCTTGCGGACCTTGCTATCCAGCCCACAGCCCCAGCTGCACTCAGCGCTCTGCCCGGCTGCCCTGCAGGATGCAACATGATGCAACCAATGCGGATCAGCTTCTCTCTTTCCAGCTCATCAGGGCAGCCACTGCCACCTGACAGCAAG